TAGGGTTTTAGGGTTTTAGGGTTTCGGGTTTAGGGATTTGGGAAAGAGGGCTCCGCAGCACAGGGGTTCTGTATAAATGAGGATTCAGCAAACAAACACATATGTACAAAATAAACACATGTCTATATACATGTGTATATATATATATATAGAGAGAGAGTCTTCTGTGGATAGGTTTGGTATTTGGTATGTGACATTAATGCAGCTCTACAGGGTTCAAGGTGGCAGTAATATTGGAGCTGAGAATGGTAGTGGCCATGATACCGAATAGGACAATGTTCATGATACCTTGATGTTGACAATGGCACAAAAATACGTGATGATGAATACTGACAGTGGCAACACCTGTCATACTGCTACTGGCAATACTCACACACTGATTGTGTTCATCAGCACCAAGGTTCTCAGAAACAACTGGAGAATAAACGGGGGCCGAGTCATGGCACTTACAATCGCACCTGGCCCATCGGTGCTTCGCAGCAAGCGCCTCGCAAAAAAAAACATCCGAGAAAAGTGCTTTTCATTGTTAACAGCATCAATGGGATGTAACTTCAAAGCTTGCAGTTGCAGTTCTTCCACTCCATGCCGTGTAAGTTCTATATGGTCGAAGGCTTTGTAAATGTTCAACCGTAACATGTGACACAATGTTGAAGAACATTTTCAGGTCAGGACTCTTTGCTAGAACGTCTACAGCACCTCAGGAAGACAGCAACCGATGTTGCAACAGACTGGGTTGTGGAAGTCGGGGCAAGGAGTCTACGTATGTTCTATCCTGGCTATCCGTAAAAGTTTGGTTCGTCTACATATTTTATATAGGACTATGGTAGTGGCGGTCGTCGAGTAGCAATATATTGAGCAGTAGTAGGAGTGGTAAGAAAACGAGGAGTAACATAGCAGTAGTCGTAAAGTCGTAAACTACTTTGGCCGGGGCACATGTACATCACCTCACAGCGCTTCATCTCGTTCAGCCTTACGAGCAGATCGCAAGAGGCCATGTGCTGTAGTGGTACCATCGGGGTACTATAAGGCGCATCGAAAAAGGGGCACTAAATGGGGTACTATAATGGGGCTGTTGATGGAAACCCACACGTTGGACTCTATGGCTAAAAGAACATAAGCATGTCGCTACAATAAGCGCTAAACCCTAGAGCGGGCCTACCTGGGCTATCTCTGGAGCAATCTGCAAGCACTCTGAGAACAGGTTCGGCTTCTCCACGGCACGTCAGGGTGGAGAAGGACTTCAGTGGAGCCTATGCGGCTTGAATCTGCAAACTGTCCACAGCAACGACTGCGAACTCTGGACTCTCGCATCGTAACCCCCTATAAACCCTAAACCCAAACCCTAAATGTAACCTGTACTACAGTACCACCTTTTCAGCAATGTAACCTGTACTACAGTACCCCCCTTTGCAGCTCCTTGCAAAGGGAGCTCACCGGGTTGGGTTTCCATGTTCGAATGCTCACATCCTGACCGGCTAAGCCCCAAATCATACATGGAGCCATCTTCAACATGAAATCCTAGGTCCTATACCCTATACGGAAACCCTAAACCCTAAACCCTAGGCCCTAAACCCTAAACCCTATACGGTCTCGAACAAGAGTCCATCCTGCAGTCAACGACCTAAAGGGCTCTCCAGGGCTGTCTGCAAAATAAGGCACATGGCTTCCCCATCCAGGCCGTTCACCGTCAGGATGCGGTCACCTTCTAACTATGAAGCATTCAGCAAGTAAGACACCCTACTACAGACCCTCCAATTCAGTGCAAAACATCTCGGAATCTGTTCCCCTGTTTGCTGAAACCCTATATGTTGCTCCTGGAGACGCATAGGACACAACGCATGAACAGCGAGAACAACATCGAATGATAACGGAGAGCCCTTGCGGTAGCGTCAGAGAATCACTTAACGTCAGGCTCAGGTTCCCTTCAGACCCAGAGAACCCAATACCCCTGAGTTAAGCAATATACCTTAAATCATAATATTCAGGCCCTTATAATTTAAGGTATATTCCTTAATTAAGGGGTATTGGGTTCCCTTCAGAGACCTGGCTGCAGACTCTAAGGTGGGTCAAGCACTCTGAGGGTCAGAAAAATGCCGCGATTGCTGATGGGGACTTATGCTACATCTCAGCCCTAAACCTTTGGCCCCACGACCTAAAGCCCTAAAGCAACAACAAGCAGATCTCATCAGCCTCTGCGTACTGCGCAGTCCGGAGAGGCCTGGCGCGAGGCTGCAAACCCTAAGAAGATAACCAAAAGCATACCGTAACCCTAAACGTCCCAAGGTCTATGGGCACTTAGTTTCATAGAACGGAGTAAGAAGATAACCAAAAGCACACCATAACCCTAAACGTCCCAAGGTCCAAAGGCATTTAGTTTCATAAAAAAGGAGTCTGGGAACATCCTGCAACTTCAGACAACTTCAAGCTGCTAAACTGCCGAATCACAGTACTGCCAGGGCGTGGGACTGCGAAGGGCAGCCCTTTGTTGAGCAGATACGTACCGGCGTTAACAGAGTTAGGTGGTTTTTTCTATAAGATTTGTCTCATCCGCTTAGCTGATCAGGTCGCACTGCAGGGAATTCGTATAGAAACCTTGTTGTATGGGTGTGGGCTTTAGCTTTGTTTTGGTGTACAATAGGTATAACCGTCAACAATTACACAACCTTAGCCCTCAGGACCCCCTTCTCGCAAGCACTTACCGCTAAGCCCAGGACCTTAAACCCTAGACCTCGACACCCTAAGCCTCAACTGAGGCCCTGAAGCCCTACACCCTAAAACCCCTAAAACCCCAAAGGCCCTACACCCTAAACTCCTCTGAGCCCTAAGCCCCAAGCCCTTCATCTTGGGATGGGGCCAACGGCACCTCGCCTTGTTCCACTCGGAGACGGGGCCACCCTCCAGGACATTCTCCTCGCAAAAGGTTGCTTTCATGCTATACTATACCCATGGGCTCCATGGTAGTTCCTTTTTGTGGTTCATATTTAGGATCCTATAAGGTAACCCCCAAAAGGAACTACTATGGAGCCCATGGGCAATCCGTCATATAGGACACTGTAATATTGCAAGTAAACCCAAGCTGAACTTCACGGCAAAGACCCTCGAACCCCCCATCCCATGAAACAACCAAGTCCCAAACAGAACCACAAAACCCTAAACCCTAAACTAACCCCTAAACCCCAAACCCTAAAGCAACACCCTAAACCCCAAACCCAAAAAACTAAACCCTAAACCCTAAAGCAACACCCTAAACCCTAAAGCAAAGCCCTAAACCCTACACCCTAAAACCCTATAAGCCCTAAACCGCAGCTGCGGGCTCCACAAGGGTGATGAAGGAGCCCTCCCTCTGCTCCAGGCGCATTGTCTCCAACCCCAGCGCCTCGGCTTCTTTAGAGAACCAAAATACCCCTTCATTAAGGAATGCACACCGTAATTTATAGGGTTCCTTACAGGGATCTATAAGGGTCAGAAGGGTTCTACAAGGGAATTAAGGAATTTGCCGTAAATTATAAGGTTCCTTAAAGGGATCCATACGGGTCATAAGGGTTCTATTAAGGGAATTAAGGAATGTGCGTAAATTATACGGTTCCTTAAAGGGATCCTAGGGAATTAAGGAATGTGCCGTAAATTATAGGGTTCCTTAAAGGGATCTATAAGGGTCATAAGGGTTCTATTAAGGGAATTAAGGAATGTGCCGTAAATTATAGGGTTCCTTAAAGGGATCTATAAGGGTCATAAGGGCTCTACCAAGGGAACCAAGGAATGCGCCGCAAACTATAGGGTTCCATAAGGGTCATAAGGGCTCCATAAAGGAATTAAGGAATGCGCCTTAAATTATAGGGTTCCTTAAAGGGATCTATAAGGGTCTCATAAGGGTCTCAAAAGGGTTCTATAAGGGAATTCAGGAATATATACCTTGAATTATCAGGGCCTTAATATTATGATTTGAGGTATATTCCTGAATTAAGGTGGGTTGTGGGTTCTCTGGGGTCCACACGGGCCTGAGGGCTTTGATAACCCAGGGTTTTGGGGTTTATAGGGTTTAGGGTTTAGGGTCTAGGGTCTGACCCTAGGGTTTAAGGTCTAGTATTTATAGGGTTTATAGGGTATAATAATGGGGCCTTAAGAATTAGAATAAGGGGTTGGGGGTATAATATAGGTGGGGTTCAGGCGCATGACGGGTTTAGGGGGCTCCAGGGCTTAGCAGCCGTAGGGAGCTTCGGGGCTATAGGGCTTTAGGGCAGTTTAGGGTTTTGTAGGGGGTTTAGCGCTTTCCATCCGGCGGTTACGCTGTTGCCGGAAGTTGGTCTTCGAGGTTTTTGCGATTTTGAGGGTCTGATGTCGGAGGGAAGCTCAGCCACCAAAAGCCTCAAGAGCTTTAGGGAGTATACCCACACGCTCCATAGTAGTTCCTTTTTGCGGTTGATGTTTAGGATCCTATAAGGTATTCCCAAAAAGGAACTACCATGGAGCCTATGGGTAACGCCCAGGGCCCGGAACTCTGAAGTCTGAGGCCCCCGAAACACTGGGGAAGTTGACCCTCGAAGGCTCGAGGCCCAGGTTGCAGACTGCAACACGCGCCACCAAACACAGCACTTGGAGGAGACATGAAATCGAAAAGGTGTAGGAGTAGGAGTTGGGAGTTAGGGTTGAACAACAAGGGCGGCACGGACGAACGTTGTAGTAGCATTTCGCAACACGGAAAGCTCAACGTATCGATCGCAATAATTTACAAGAAAGCTCACTGGGTATCACATTGCAATTGATACGACAATCGCCAGGGTTTTTTGTGGAAGTATCGAGCTGCCAAGAGCCAGATCAAGAACGGTGACTAGAGAGCACCCTGCCGTATTCAGCGAGCCTTGAAACTTCGAATGGGGTATACCATACTACGCTATATCCACAGGACTAAACTTCAAACACTCGGACTTCTACCAGGGTTATACCATAAGGAACCCGAATGAATAATGTTGCTAATACTAACCCTAAACCCTAAACCCCTACAACCCTAAACCCCTAATCTTTCAGTCTTCTACACTCTGCAAAAAGCCTTCGCCTAGGAATCCCGGCCTGGCCAGCCTGCCTCTGCAGCCGCACAGTGTAGCAAGCGCCCGCCTGCTGGATTCACGTCAGACCCTTGGGCTACCCAAGCCCTTTAGGGGTTTAGGGTTTAGGGGGTTTAGGGGGTTTAGGGGTTTAGGGGGTTTAGGGGATTTAGGGTTTAGGGTTTAGGGTTCCCAACCCTTTAATTAACGCAAAACATATCAAAACATATATCCTTATTACAGAACCTAGCAACGTTTGATAGAATATTACCAACGTAGCATAAACCTATAAATAGAAACTACAAAGATACAGCAATAGATACCCGCGCTATGCAGCCTTACATAAATCGGAATTGGCAGACATGGATGATCCTGTGTACCTGGACCCCAGAAGTATGTAGAATAATGGCCTTTTTATGGGTTTTGGGCCATTATTTTACCTTTCAAGTATTGACGACCCTGCAAGGCTTCCAAATGCACTGCGCCTCACTACTGGCCGCGGGGCCCGTCTCGGCGATCTTGCGCCAGTAGTCCATCACTTGCCTGCGACTTCAAAGTGCGATTCCATGGCTTCGGTTGGAAAAAAAAAACTTGCAAAGAGTTTCTAGAGCCTAAAAGTCCGCAACCTTCAGCCGTGTAGCTTGAATTGATATCAGCAGTATGAAGGACTCGGGGTAGTAGGAATGTTTGAAACTGCACTCGCGGTGCAGGATCAAGACTAAACTAAGTTTTGAGTCCTTTGGACCCAATGCCCCTAAAGCCCATAGCAGCAGAATATGCCGTGGAGCATACTTTCCTCGCAGACCTCGGAAATCCGTCAACCGAAAACAACCTGCTCCAAAGGCTTTGGCTCACTGGGCGTGATAGCCAAATATACTTACATCGGGACTTTCCGAAGATTAGGGGGTACCTTATGTTGGGGGTCCT